TACGAATAGCATCCGTATGCGTATAATATAGTATTTATACCTATAGTCGTTTCAGTGGTGCAATGAGAAATACATATTATTGTATTCGGTAATATTGATTTTATTTTTTTGTTGCATCACTTATTATTGTATAATATGATATCCGAATAGGAATAGCCGCAGTCGGTAGAACTATAGTATTCATCAAATATTTATATTTGTATTTTATCTAGATATATAATAAAATTATATATTTTTTAAAATATTTTGGTTAGGTTTGAGCTATATCTATAAACATTTGAAATGTTAGACTTAGACTGTGAGTAGACAGAGAGATATAATATATAGATCCGTGAAAGTATTGATTTTACAATGATATGTTTTTTCTGTCACCAGGTTGGGACAGTTAAAATGTTTAATCTTTAACTTAAATATATTTTTTAGTGGTAATGTGAATCTAGTTTGTACTCAGGGGGCGTGGGTCAAAAGTTACAAATGACCAGTTCTTGAAAAAAAGAGGAATTTTTACGCAAATATAGTTTTTTGATAGGTTTAAGTGGTGAAAATTAATAAAAGGTTCTTCATAAATTGTTGTTATAGGAACTAAAAAAAAAAAATATATGTTCCCATTATTTTAGACATTTCAAGCCAATGTTTTGATGGGGTTGGATATTTAAACGAAAAATACCTACCTAATCATTTTAGTTATTTTTTTGTAATTCAAAACACATAAATCGTAGGAATTTGACACTTTTTGGCATTCCGTGTATTATCATATTGTATATTTATACCCATATAATACTATTTGACTGAACTGGAAACTTTTAAGTATAATATTATATTTTATATACAAAATTACATTTTTAAAACATTTAGATTAATTTTATGCTATATCGCGTATTTATATTATGCACCAATTTACTCCGTTCTAGGGTAAGTCGGTATTGACCCAAAGGTTAATAACAATAATATAATATAAACACCTTAATAATTGAGTATTGATAATATAATAAATGTAATTTTTTAAGCAAAAAATTATTCAACTAATAAAAATATTTTTATGTATTACTGTTGATAAAAAAAAATTACTATAATAGCAATATAAATACATCATATTAAGATATACTTAGAGATTAATAGGCTGACTAGACAGTGACTGTACTATAATAATATAGTGTCCTAACTCCTAGCTCAGAATTGTTTTCATATGCATGCAATGATTTATCATTGAATCAAAATTCAATACTTACAATATTAAAGTGACTGACTTACCCAATGGAGATATACACTCGGTAGCTCAAGTTACCTACTTAGCCACCTTTTTTAATTTTAATGATTATGCTTAATACATTTTGAGAGTTAATGTTATTAACTTTCCGTATGACCTTAAATATAATTGCGTATATTACATATCTATTTTAATGATAAATTAAAAACATTATAATACATATCTTTTTATAATCTCATTTAATTTTGATTAAATCCCGAAATATTGTCATCTCTTTTTTTGTAAACTAAAACTAAAACAAAAATTAATTGTTATTTTACTTTTCAGTTTAATGTATAAGTTAATATAATTATCAGAATGAAAAATATCTTGGTAATTACTAATTAGGTACAACCGTACAAGATAATAATTATATTATGTTTATAGAATTGCGTTTCCAAATATTATTAATTGTCATTCGCTTTTTAAATGTACATTTGTTTTGCGGAAATTTGTGCGATTTATGATTTCCTGTAATTACAATCATATTTACTTTTCTAATGTGTTTTTGATTAAATCCCTATATTTAAGTTATTCCATTTAAAATTATAAACGATGTGATGACTATTTTATGAATGTATGTACCTACTTCTGACACGAATAACATTTATCATTTATTTAAATTCAAAATAATCATGTGGTTGAAATTGCCGAAGTGAATATGAATAAATTAAGTGAATAAATTATGTAAACTATGCTGCTAAAATTTAAAAAATTTTAAAGTTAATTAAAAATATTAGGTATATTTAAGTTTTTTGTTCATAAAATTATTTTTAACTTAAACATTTTTGGTATTAGTTTTCAATTTCCATTAAATAACACGAACAAACATAATAATATTTTGTTAGTTCTTTTTTAATTCATAAAGCATACATAATAATAATTTGTGTGATATGGTTAATTTTTTTTTGGTGATACGTATATAATATATAAATGTAAAAAAATATATACTTTTGATTTTTTTCGCGATCGAGTTAAATTCAAAAGTAAACATTTTTTTACAAACATCCAATTAAAACTTTAATTCTTTTATCATTTTGTTTTTACAAAATAAACAGTTTCATATTTTCATCTGTTTTGGCTTTTTATGTGTTCATTAATTGAAATTTAATTTTTTTTCCTCTACGTCCCCAGGCACGAGTTTGATTAAAAAATATTATATTTTTTTAGTTTCTTACTCATCTTGGTCCAACTAATAATTTCGTTCTATAACATATTTTATATTTCTAAAATTTTAATTTAAAATTTAACTTAATGTACTTCTAACTATTTCTTTGCATAAACATAAAAACTATGTAATTCATTCAAGTTATTTCTAGTAAAAATTCTTTCATTTTTTATTTAAACGGTATATTGCCTTATTATTATGTAATATTATGTATTATTCTATTAACGCCGACAGTAATTTAACATGGTTGATAAATTTACTATATTTCATTAATAAGAATTAACAAAATTATTCATAAATGATAAATAAATATAGACACTTCAAGATCAAAGGTTATTATTAAGTATACATATGATATGCATATATAATAGTATAGATAAAAACAAATATATAGTTAACTAAGGTCCTTACAATTAATCAAGATATTTTAGTGTCACCCGAGGATTTATGGTAATTTGCAGCTTTAAGCATGCAAATCAAGGTGTGATCATGTCTACAATAATATAATATTTTATGTGCCAGTACGGATTGATTTATAGGAGAATAATGGTAAGACCCTCTAAACATGATGTGGCAGCAAGGAGATCAGTATTGTGTTGTGGCTTATATTATTTTATAACTATTTGATTCGATGAATATCGTACTCATTGTATTGTCTTATATATTATTTCTTTTAGAGTAAAATACTTTATGCCATTAGCTCCGGCGCATCTATCTGAGGTATATGTTTCAGTGCATTCTATCAACATAACAGTTCGTTGTTTTTTGGAACAAAGTTTTTGCATCCATTGTACCATTTTTAAAAAAAATGTTATTCACGATTCTCAGGAGTCGCATATTTTGTTCAATAATAAAATTATGATCACACGGCGTTCTGGATAGGCAATTTCGCTACATCAATGTCGAGGATCCACGTTTCGAAATCTCATTATGTAGGTTTGTTAAAAATTAAAATACATCATAGTACGATAGTATAATATTGAGTTGGAGTATAGTGTATAATAATTTTACTTGATGTAATTTGAATGAAATTTCCTCTCATTAATTGGCCTAACCTAAGATACAATTTATTTATTTTTAAATAAAATCTAATTTAATTTGAAATTTCTAAAAAACAATATTATATTTAAAAAAAACTTTTGTTTAAATACATGCAGTACTTGAACATTAATTACGAGTTTGATCATTGAATCGTATTTATATTACACATTAATGCATTATTAACATCAGTTCTAGTTTTGTCGTTCTTTCGACGGATTTACGTCGTCTGCTGTTGCTGGATTGAACGTTTATTACCAATTTTTCATAACCTACGAACCCTCACTATACTCCTACACACAAATTGCGTTATAGTTACTTTGTTAGTACAGACTATAGGTACATACTCAAAAGGACGTGTTTAACCTAAATATGTTTTTAAATATTTTAAGATGGTATTTTTCTTATGGTTGCAACGTTAAACAATTAAAAACTTATCTAATTTCTTCTACTATAAGGTAGTAGGCACCCCTTATGGTATTTAGAACTATTGAAATATGTAGCGAACAGAATATTTCACTATACCTGTAATTATTATGTATGGCAGCCAATGATTATGTAGGGGCCAAATGATCGAGGAATCCGAGAAAAAATATACGCTCTCCGTTCTTTAATGGAAACTAAAATGGTTTTGTATTTAAAAATATTTTTTTTTTTATTATCGCGGTCAAAAATTTTCCCTAACGAATATATATATATATATATATATATAGTGGTGGTGAAAGGGAAAAGCTGTATTGTCTCGTAATATACATGTGTATAATATATGTAAGTGAAAAACTGCCGCAGGAGTGGGAGACGAGTGGGCATCACTCTACGCCATCACCACCGCCGACTCTACCCCATCCATCTCCTCGACCGCCCTAACCACTGACACTACCAACCACCTCCAACATCAACCTCCACCACGTCGGTTGCCACCATCACGACAAGTATCATTGTCGCGAGCGTATATGTGGCGGCGGCGATATACCATTGTTATGCGAAAACACCGATTGGCTCCGCGGTGGCATTCACCGCCGTCGCTGTGCGCTGCAGAGTGGATGAGAGCGAGATAGAGATAGGTAACGGCAGTGGACGTACAGGCAGGAACGATTGGAGGGGTTGGCGGGGGATGGGACGATGACGGGTGCGGTGGTGTGTGTGTGTGTGTGTGGGGGGGGGGGGGGGGGGGGGGGGGAGGGGTAGAGTGTATAGAGAAACGCCGCCACGAGTACACGAGTTATTATAGGCGGGAGAGGAACTGAAATAGGTCGAGTGCGAATAAAGGCAGGCGGGCAGACGGGCGGAGAGGCGGTCGGGCGGTCGGGCAGGCAGGCAGGCAGGCAGGCGAGCAGGCGGCGGCGGCGGCGGCGGCAGGGGTGGCGACCGGCGATCACATCTCGCCGCGGGAGCCAGGTGTACGGCGGTGGGTGGGCGGGCGGACGGCAATGACGCACACGCCTGCCGCCGGGCCGAGATGGTGCTGCGTCCCGGCGGCGAAACGCGGCGGTTATCCCTAGGCGCCCGGGCAGCGCGCATGACCCAAAAGCGCCGGTGAACGGCTGCCCGCGCCACCGTACCCCGTAACGCGGAACCTTGCACACACAGATCGGCGAACTGTACGCTGTGCGACTGTTGTTCCGAGACCGCCCCCCGGTTTCTCGCGCATAGGGTTTCGATCTATCGTTTCGTAATAATAATAATTAAAAAAAAAAAATAAAAAATAAAAAATAAAAAAATAATTTACACTCAACACAAATACACACACACGACAAATCACGCCGACACCCTCTCTCACACACACACACACACACACACACACGAACCCACTGACACACACACGCACACACACGTCATATAACCGTCGTCTCCGTCGCCGCGCCGTCCGCACATAACATAATAATTATATAATACACCTATAATTATCATAGTTATCGTCGCAATATCACGATATAGTATTGTATTGTCGGCACCCGTCGCTGCAGAGCCGTACGCGAATCGGTTTTCAACTTGTGTGGGGGTCGTGGCGCCCGCCGGGGGGGTTCGCGAGCCGACCGTACGCACGATGGTACGACGGATGTGGTGCGAGTGCCGAAGCGTATGATAAGAAGCCGGCTCCGCGGAGGGATCTCGACGCCGCGTGACAACGTGAACGATGGTGGTCGGTGGTCATGTGCGCTGCAAATGAGCCATGCTGTCGTTGTACGTGCGGCTGGGTGTCCTGCTGTTGTGCGCCACGACCGTGCTGCCGGCCGGCCGAGCTGCCACGTCGTCGTCGAACGTCCACAGCAAACGAGGTTTGTGTCCACTGTACTTATGTGTAGTAAAATATTGTTACCCCGACACAGACATTACGTCTGCGACACGACTACGTGTGTCATAAGTGTCATATGTGCCTATAGCACGCAGTCTGTTCGTCCGCCCCCGGTCGGGTTAGGCCCGAGACTGTTGGTCGACGGGGCTGGATTTAAAATTTTCGCGGACCGGGTGAAAATGAAATTGTGTGACATTATTGCACCTACACTTTTCTCCCTCGTACTGCTTGTTATTAATACGTAACGTTAAAATAAAAAAAAAAACACGACGACATAATATAAATGGTTTTCTTTCCATTACGAGTGTGGTAGCATTGTAATAATATAATATCATTTAAATGTTTTTAATAGTTTTTGAAAGAATTCTAAGATAATATTTTAGGTACCCCCCGAAAAGCGGGGCACGTGGTATCTTTTTTTAATGTCCTCCGTCAAAAGCCGGCTCTGGCGGTTAAATGAGGTAGTCAGTGTTCTCAGTAGTAGTGTTGGGGATGTGGGCTGAGTTGAATCTTGTGGGTTTTTTGAAAAAAAAATTCCTTCATATCGCACACTACATAATATAACAAAAAAACGTTACTGTATATTATCATCGTATAATTTATATTTATTACAATATATCATGCAGTTAAAGACGTATATATGTAATTAGTTGGATTGCCCAACTTTGCGCCCATGGGTTAAAATTAATCTAACTTTCTATCGTTTTCCGTTTTGCTTCAATTGAAATATATAGTATAAACATAATTTTATGATTTTCCACTTCTTAATTCTGGACATATTTTTGATGTAAACACAAAAAAACTGGAAAAAGATTAATTGAATGCTTACAGGCTGACGTAAATTCGATATCATTAAGATTGATATTCGTTTTTATGACGTGTTTATATAAAAAAATATGTACAGAATTTAAAAAGAAAATCATTAAAGTACCTAATTATTGTAAATTGTAATAGGTATATATCATAAGTATTTAAATTCGACATTTGTTTAAAAAAAAATATTTATTAAATTTTTATATGCTATATTTATACTACCTAGTTACAATGGTAGTGTAATAATATGTAAATAATGGCAACAGTTTAAATAAACAAAAAAAATTCGATTTTCGAGAGACGAAATTAAATTAACGAATGAGTCACCCTATAGAAACCTATAGGGGTTAGAGAAATAATAGTTATAAACACCATCCGAGTCTCTCAAGGAATCTATTGGTATAACTTTTATTGAAAACGGTCCATTAGTTTCTGAGTCTATAGAGGACAAACAAAGAAACATTTATCTATATATACATACAGATAGATAATTATGATTTATTGTATATTACGAACAGTCGTCGTAGTAAACACGACAAATTATATCGAATTTCGGCAGTATGTGTATATTACATTATTTTAGTGTAATATTAATACAGCATTCGTGGCCGCGTCTGCAAGGAGACTTAAATGTCCGTCTGCATATTTTGTGCAAGCGTATGCTTATATTTTACATACCTATCCATGACTAATGAGATCGTTTTCGTCGCACGATATCGTTTCGGTTGCATACTACGTCGGAGTGGGGTTCGTTTATTCGTTGGCAGATTGGCTACATATGCGTCCAAAAGGTTTGCCACTATAATAACATCTTGTTTCGGTGGTTGTTTGCGTTTTTTTTTAATAATACGATTTCATTTGACACTATTCCTGGCATGTGCGGGAAACCGAATCCGTGATTTGTATATTATTGCTGTGCTGCAATAACCAGGATATTGTCTTACCCTATAATTTTTAAAAGTTTTCGATTTTACAGACTGTATTCAATCACACCATTTATACTTGTTTCACTGCATGTCTCTAGATCAGAAAATAAATAACGTTCCCCTCTGAATCGAAGAAAAATTTGGTGACCTAATTATTATTTATTTCCATAGTAAAACGGGCTAGCCCAAAATAACACAGTAAAAGTAATAATCAGAACAGAAAATTCTGCTTACATATAGCTTGTAAAAAAAACACACGAAACGATTATTGTCCATACCTTCGTTTTGTAATCTCACGATAATTAACTGGCTTAGGGCCAAGTAAATTACTCCGAGGACGTATTAAATATAATATGTACTTGAATTGTCAAATTTGAAAAAAAATATTTTGTTTTAATTTCTCTTTGACAATTGAATATGACGTGACATTCTTGAAAATTAATATGACGATAGTTGTAATAAATCAGTGATGGATTGTACTAAACAGTTGTTACAGTAATTTATCATTCGAATAAATACTGCCATACCGAATACAATCAAACAACATAGGTGTCTGATGCTGAGTCTAGAGGAGCATAACTAGATATGCCCCTGCAAAATATCTTAGTTTATTATTAGAACAAATAACCGTTTAAAGCAATGCCATTATCTAGTAAGGATCGTCTTACAATTTATCATTTTTAAAACAAATCAATTTAGTACTCAACTATTCAATATCTTAAAAATATAATCAAAAATATGTAATCATAATGTACGAGTTTATGCAAGTAATTTATTTTTTATGAAAAAAATAAGTTTATTTTCAAATAATATTTGAAAAAAAAATTAATACAACGATATAAAATCTACATCCGCCTTTCAAAAATAATAAGCCATTAAATATTTGTTCATAAAACGAACATGCCAACAAAACAAAATGTACAATTAATATACTTGTTATTTAATTGTGTTTTGGTTTTACATAATATCCGATCAATTCAAATTATAATACACGTGGTCGCTAATGGAGCTATGGTGATTTTTTAATTATTACATTTTCAGTGGACGTGGTTTTAAAGCACACTGTTAAACGTGTTGGTTTAGAGTCCTAATCATATTATCTTACATTAAAATAAAATACAACAAAACCTTTATAAGATTCATTATAAGTAGATTTTATGTACCAACATACGTAAATAAATTCACATTGACCAAAGTTATCTGAACTTTAAAAATGTTCGATAATAGTAACATAATAGGCGTATAATAAATATCTTTTATCTGAGCCTTTATTCTCCCGTCTTGTTTTCCGTGTACATTGTACCTATATTGTGCATATTATGGTCAGCAGCTATGCATGGATCTCAGTAATATTATGCACTCACTTCCATATCTTCATCCCACATGTTATACTATTTCGTAGGTAGGTACCCTTTATGATAAATGTATATTTTACCAAATAATTTTTTAGACCTTATCGCCCGTGTAGGTACAATACTTTAGGTAGGTACACCAGGTATATCATTCTAACATGTATTGGTTTTACGATGAAATTTATTAGTTTTGTTCTCACAAAAGTGATAGTGTGTAAAAAGTTGTACCCGATCGATCGATTGAAAATTCGACTGAATGGTACTTTAACACGGAAATTCTTGAATCGTTAGCATTTTTAAATTTAAGGAATAATTATTTTCGAAGAAACAAAAAAACAAAAAACGTTAGAAATAATTACAATTATGTAATTACAATAACTCCTACCTAAGTATTGTTGGTTATTTATTTTTATGTAGAATTACAAATGCGGATTATTCACGTATGTAATTAATTAACTATACGCCTATAAACAATATGACGAAGTATACGATGATATAATATTCATAATTTTGACTAGTATAACGTATAAGAATAATTTATCATAATCAATAATCATAAAGTGTATATCAAATTATTAATTTATCATGTCCCGCGTTAAATTATGCATAATACAGTAACTCGGTGGTCTATAAAAATTGAATATACAATAATTGAAGTACTAAAGCATTTTCGAGTTGTTATATACTTGTATCAGTAATCAGTATACAACGAACTTCAAGAATATACTTCCCTTTTATTTTTCACTTAACTTTATTTATTTGGCTATTGAATATTCAACAATGCCGCTTTATCGCAGTTAAACTCCGGGTTTTCTTAACCTGCATTATTCTTCAGTAAACATTAACACAGAACAGTGTTAACTTTTAAGTCAATTAATGCTGAATTAAATGCATATAAAATTATTGTTATTGATCGTAGGTTCAAGTATTAAAAATATGCAGGAGTCCTCATCGTAAAAGCCTAAAGACACACATCAAAAATATAAAACTTTATAAGTATTAAAACATATTAATGGATTTTTGCTATCTAAAAAGTATATACACTGGGGGAAAAGAAGTAATATCTCAAGTGGTATTTTTTTGCGAATACAATAAAATCCCAATGGGATAACATTTCGTTGCGCAATCGGAGAAACAGTGTAGATACTCGTAGGAGACGTTTTGTTTTGGAGAAAGGGCTCCGGTTGTGGTACCCAGAAAAGCTCTTGTGGCCAATCCTTGTGTCCGAAACGCTAATGGAACGCTAATGGAAAACATAATCCCATATTTCAACCCCTCCTCTTGGTCTTCAAACAAATCCACTAAACCTAGTTCATTAAACCTATAGAAACCTGCCCTCTATTTTATATCTAAATAGTGCCTAAATGAGAAAACATTTTTGAAAAATAATTTTTGGTTACCAAATAATAACAGTATCATAATAAAACGTAATTTATTAGTGGCAGAGGAGTTTATATCGCAACGTTTATATTATGGGGGAAACATTTCATAGTGACAAATGTTTACGTCTATAGAATGTTATTAATAGGGTATTCAGAATCTATGGTAAACTATGATAAAAAAAATTTACATTATGGATTCAGTATCAAATATTGTATGTGAAATAAGTTAATCAACGATCATCAATAAAAATGTATATTTTCGATCCAAATTGTGGAGTTAAACATTATAATATATATATATATAAATTTAGTATTTAAATATATATTAAAGATTAATAAAATGAATATGAAAATATTTATCATTTTTGTTACATTCATATGGCAGTGAATCTAATAGCAAAATAGCAAAAAAACAACTAAATATTATTACACTAGCAAATATGTATTTTATAAGGATTATTTTTATGTTCACATTTAGTTAAATATTTATAAAAACTAATATTTGTAATG